GTCTGTCTGCCTGTCTTTCTGTCTGTTCTTGTGGTGGGTGGGATCTTGCAATTCGGTAAATCAGCCGGTACCTGCACGTAGAAGTGCAGATGAACAATGTGAGTATGTGAGTATATGCAAGCAGCCATGTGGGTGGGATCACAGATGTCTAAGGTTAAAAGTATGGGCCCCTAATATGGACCCCTAGGCCTTTCTAGGGACCCTTAAGGGTACATATAGGGTATATAGTAGGCGTATAAGGATCCCAGGATTAAGGGCCCATACTAGGGGCCCATGGGTTCAACCTTGGAAGATGGAGGAAGCTTCCAAGCCTTTAGAGTAGAGACTGTCAGGACTTCAGATTTACAGACCTCTGAAGTGTTTATGCTCGGGGATGTCAAGGAATTAGGGTTCAATGATGTAGGATCTCAAGTTGGGGGGCTTTCACGCTGGGGTTGGCAGAGTGCCTGAAGTTGGTTCGAGGATCCCATTATGACATCATTCAATCATCGAAGACTCAGTCCCTCTCATGCTGCATCGAAGCTCCATGAAGCCAGGAGTTGTACCCGAAAACACAATGTAGATGGATGTAGTTCTTGGACTCATCTACCTACCGACCACTCAAGCCACTGCAGTCTAAGGTCGCCCTAGGCCCAACATCCTAACCCTATGTAAACCAAATTCAATGCAACATCTACAACCCTTCGAAGAGGACACCGTGGAAGGCATGAAGACCAAGCGGGAGACAGGCCAGCCCCGGAGCATTAGCTCCTTTATACTGCCTGAGGGTATGAGGTACTACTCCTACTCCTACTCCTACCACTACTACTACTACTACTACTACTACTACTACTACCACTACAATTACCACTACCAGCACTGCTACCACGACCACTACCACTCCCACTCCTACTCCTACTGCTTCTCGTACGACGGGTTCTGCACCAAACGCTGCCTGAATGAACCTCAGTCGTGGGGTTTAGGCTTCCTATTTGGCGCATGTACAGGTCAGTACTTCTGTACATGATTGCAGGCGTTCTGCCATGTTGGTGCCACTTGCTGCAAGCAGTGACGGCGGGTGGAAAGTTTGCTGTTCTCCAGACTTCGACCCCTAATCTGGACCCTAAACCTCAACCTCTTAACCCAAACTCTAAACTCTAAACCACAACTCAACTGCCCAAGCCAGGCAAGGCGCGATTTCGCCTGGATTCGTCCTTGCTGGACGAGCCAAGGTCTCAGATGCTGCCACAGTGGGATCGACTTCTGTGAGATGCAGCTGTCGCGTAGATACCTTACTGTTTGATGGATTTGAAATTTAGACTCTTGTGTCCGAAACGGTGCTTGCGGTCGCGGTACCAAAAGTCTAGATCATGACTGCTACCTGAAGCAACACCAGCTGCTGGAGCAACGACGGAGGGCCGGAGCAGCAGCAGTCGTTGTCATCAGTATCGCTTGAAGGTTCCTACCGCCGCAAACTGTTCAAGTATTGTGGCGCCTTGATCCATTGCTGTCCATTACCCGAAATTTGCAGATCCTCATGCCCCAGGTTGTACCGCATCTGCCTAAGAAGGCAAAATGGGATGCAAACCACATCTCCCCACCCCAGCCCATAAAACCAAAACCGAAGCCTAACATCGCTCGATCCTACACCGAAAGCTCCAATTAACCCGAAACGCCCGGAGCGCTCAAGCTGCACACCCCCAAAAGTTAGCCCCCACAGCCCCCAGGACACCGCCAGAAACCCACAGCACAGTTTGACCGAACCCAAGAAGTCCCTTTAGATTAAAAAAAAGCAACATCTAAACCCCAATCCTGAAGAGCCTAAAGCCTCCACCAAGATAAGCTAAACCATAAACCCCTCTAGCCCCGAAGCTCTACAGTTTCGGGTTTAGGGTTTCTAAGGGCTTTTTTTTGGGGGGGTGGGGTATATAGGGAACCCTAAACCACAAACCCCAAAACCCTTAGAACCCAAAAGGTCGTTACATGTACCTCTTGGCATGGTCGAGCGCATCATCAAAGACGGCCGCAAGGCGGAGTAGGGTTTCACGGACTTTCGAGAGTGTCAGACAAGAGGAGTTTTATCATGAGCATCCCGCAGGTCGGGGTTCCGTGTTTCAGAAACTTACACATTGAGGGCTGGAGGGTTTGGGGTGTTAGGTAGGACTTGCGATGTTGATGGTGTTAGTTTCGGGGTTTGGCGCTTTAGGGGCTTCGGCAACATCAGGGAGTTTCGGAGAATCCTGGGCGGCGCTGTAGACCGAACCCGTTTCCAGTCATGTTGGCTCCTTCAACACCAGGGCCATCACTTAGTAGCTGAGTAGATAACCTTTGCCGTTTTGGGGCTTATATGCTCGAACTATAATTGAAAAAGTTAACCTTTTTTGGGCTTGGGTACTGAGCCCCTAGGATCAGGAATGACGATCCTGGCCATAGCGCTTGAGGCTCTGTCCTTCACGACCAGAAGTTCGAAGGGGGACAGGCATCAAGACCCTGAAAGATTCAAGAAGCCTGAGCCCCTGAGTTCCCGAAACCCTAAATCTTAAACCCTAAACCCTAAACAGCCTAAACCCTAAACCCTAAACCCTAAACCCTAAATCTTAAACCCTAAACCTTATAGACCCTATATCCTCAACCTGACCCTGAGCTCCAAAACCTGAGCCGAAAGACCAGGACAAAGAGGCCAAGCGACAGCGAGCGCTGGCCCACGCCGCCAAAGAGAAGGACTAAGTGTAGGGGGCTAAATACTTCCCACTACTATTTTGAGGCTCCTTACCAAAATTATGGTATAATATTCCCCAAAACCCCTATTCTAATCATTAAGGCCCCTACATCACCGACCCCAACCATTGACTTTTAGAGCTGTTGGGCTTCCTAGGGGCTTACACTTAATTGGGGTTTCATGGGACTTCCGTATGGACCATAGTTACCTGACTTCTAACCTTAGTTACTGAGTCCTCTGAACCTCCAAGTAGGGTTGCATTTGGGGGTGGATTTCGTGCTCTGGATGTTCGGATTTGGGGTTTCGGGATGTGGGGTCCAAGGTTTCAGGGTTTAGGGGTTTGCTTAAGACCCTCAGAAAACTTAGGTGGTGAGTATGTGAAACCCTGAACTGGAACCCTAAACACCGAAAAGCCCAAAGCCCTAACCCTACTCAATTTATGGGCTTCCGGACCCTAAACCCCTAAACCCTTA